GGGATGCCACGCTAAAACTTCAGTTTCCTAGCTTTTGCAGTTCAAGAGAAAATTTCCCTGCCAAAACTTTTGCAGTGACATACGTGGTACCCAGGGGTGCGTGAAGGCTGAATTCAAATTTGCGGGGGTTGTACGTCGGTAGGGGTTTTCAGATTCCGAACTTCCGTGGCTCCCGAGATAATTTTCCCGGCCGGGATTTTAACGAGGTCGGAAGTATTGCCTGGAGGCGCGGGAAGGCTGAATTTAAATTCGCAGGATTGTATGTGGGCAGGGTGCATTATCGCGAAATCTCAGCTTTTTGGCTTTTATGGTTCCCGAGATAATAATTTACCCGAGAGCGCGGGAACGCTCAATCTGAATTTGCGAGGTCGTATGTAAACAAGGGATCATTACCGTAAAATTTCAGCCTCATAGGTTTTGTGATTCCCGCGATAATTTACTTGCCAAAATTTTCACGGAGTCGTAGGTGATACCCGAGTGTAAAAGGTTGACATGCAACGAGGTCTGTGTTCCTCTTTTGTCAGCTCTGGTTAAGGAACTTTCTCAGCTCAGCTCTATGCTTCAGTTGGACTTTCAGCTTCCTAAGGAGGATCGTATGTCGGTCCCATTTGCCGTGCGGCATGGAGCCTCTTGCAAAAGTTTACTGTCTTCATCTTGCGTGGCTGAAATGGGAGCATCTTTTTGGCAGAGAGCAAAACCGATTTGTAATTTCTTTATATCGAACGTGATCTTTTAGGCCGTTCAAATTATTCTAGGCACACTTCTTCATTACTGACACTGTACATTAGCAGTTCAAAAATATCCTGAATTGTTTGCGCCGTGCAAATTGTTTTCAGTTCACCAAAGTGGTTGAGGAGAAAATGCAGGTCGTTAAAGAAAAGGAGAAATTGGTTGTGATGGCACGGGACGAATTAAAAATAGCAACTGATAAGCTTGTGGAAGCAGGGGAAAAAACGCAACAGCTGGTTAGTTTCGAGGATTCGCTCCACTGCATACTTTTAATTCATGCGAAGTAATGGTATGCTGATGTGACTTCAGAGCTGAAATTTCATGTTGAAATTCGCCGAAAACCCGCAGATTTCACGTTATGAAGTTGCTGCGATGTTGCACTGCCTCTGTGTTTTGTCACTTGTTTGATTTCAGGAAGACAAACTGCACGAATCGAAAGACGTTATAAGTAAGCAGAATAAGGAGCTGACGGAAATGAAAGAACTAACACAGGGGCTGCAATCACGTCTGGAGGAAGTGGAGGGCCAAAAGTGCCAGGTCTGCAAATATTTTCAATCCTAAATTTTGCTTAATCTTCCAGCGAGTAAAATGCAATTATGATTATCATTCATTACGTTGTTGCCTTTCTGTTATATGTATTTTGTGCATTTGTCACAGCATCGACTTACTAACAGAAGCAAAATCCTTATGTTGCATCTGCGGTACACAGTTTTGGGTGGTTCTCAGGCTGATTTACACAATTTTAAAAAGATTTACGAAGTTTCGTCAGTTCGGGAAATTGGCCTCTTTTATGGTACCGTACACATTGAATCTTTGGCAGACTTGGATCTCTGTATCGTCTGTTCTTAGCATGTATATATGTTCGAGTATGTTTTGTTGCGCATTTCCAACTTAAGAACCAGTGTAGCTAGGAAGTTAAAATTTTACGGTAATATCCCCTGCCTACGGGCAACCTAGTAAATTTAAACTCGGCTCTTACGCCTAGGTCTCACCCACAGACACGATAATTTCTTGGTGGGGAAGTTTTGCTAATTCCAGAACCAGGAGGCTAGGATTTCAGGAGATATTCTTTGCCTATGCAAAATCAAACTCGAATTTAGCTCCCAGTTGTGCCTATATCTCACGTGCGGCTACGTGAAAGTTTTGACGCAAATATCATTAATCCGAAAGCCGAAAAACTAGGAAATTAAAATTTATTCC